CCTCTTTCATTACTAAAATTAAAAACAAATTTTATGAATACTCTGGAGTGGTAAGACATTACTCCTAACCCAGAGGAAACTGACAGATTCATTATTAGAAGTAAAATTAACACAGCAGAGAAGAGCACAGGTTAAAAGTGTAATGTTACAGGATAGAAAAGTAAGCAAACACTAAATAAAGTGAAGGAAACTTTTATGGTATTCAGAATGTAGCCTTGTCTAAGCCATGATAAAACCTGAAGGGTTCTTAAAGTGAAATATGTGAACCTCCTACTATTAGGAAGCCGGAACTAGGGGTAAAGTTTTCCCTGATTTGGAGGTAGTCTGAGTTTATTCCTGTTTAAAGTAAATATGGAGACTGAAGGGAAGATAGGAAGGGCCACTGGAAAAAAGCAAGTGAGTGTCATAGAAAGTGAGAGAAGCATAGGTGTGGAAATGCCATTGTCTGTGGACAAGGAAACCTCAGTGCACTCAGACAGGTCCAATACAAAAAGCTCTGCTCAAGCAGAAGCAGGTGTTATGGTCCTTGGACATCCTTCCACAGAAAGCAACTTAGGGCAGCCACAGTAGTGGGGATTGTAGTTCCAGTTGCTTGGGAGGCTGGTGCAGGAAGGGCCTCTTGTGATTGTATTCGGGAGTCCGAGAGAAGATTGGAAAACACCGTGACAACTGGTCAGTCAGAGAGAAAGAGTATGAAAATATTGTCAGGGGCTGTGGTAACTCAATAGTGAGGCATGTAACTTAGTAAGTACCAAGGACTGAGTACAGTCTCTAACACCTGAAAAATGATAGCAGATTGGTTTGAATATTTTTGCTTTTTCTAAATAAGACACAATATCTTCATCTTGGGCAGTTTTTATATTAAAAGAAGCTATAAAAACAACATTGGGAGGCAGTGCAAATTCGAAAATAATATTCTCTGGTTTTGTGGTGTTTACCAGGTTGTTGGAATGGAATGGAATAGTGTAAGGAAGAGAGAGATAGAATGGTAGCAGGACTGTAGCTTATAGGGTGGAGACAGCGGGGAGGGGAAATCCAAAGAGGAAAGATAAGAGGGGAGATCCACGGGCTTGTTGACACAACAGGTCAGTGAATGTTCAAGGTTCTGTTGTTAGGGCTGGTGTGCTGCACTTTACCTGAATTACTGGCTTATCTTGAAAGCTTTTTTGACTCTCTGAACGCTATTCACAATTATGTAGCTACTAAAGAACTGATGTCTTTGCTTATCAGGAAATAAGCAGAACATTCTGCCAAAGGTGAATGGTGCCATCGTACCACGGTAACAAGAGCCATAGCACACAATGTTAAGTCCTAAGGAAATCAAATCAACAGAACATTCTCTCACCCTCATTGCTCTCTGCTCTCTTCACTTTGAAATGAAGGCATTGGATTTCAGTCTGTCTTTTGTTGTGGAATCTGTAATCAACACTGGATTTCTTATAATAGAACGTTCTTGGTCAGTGAAGAAGACATTTTGAAATCTAAACCTTGTGACCTCCCTTTGCTTTTCACCAAAATACCCTTTGAAAAGGAAGATTCTGTATAAGTCATGGGCATGAAACTCCTTAAGACAAATGGTACACTGGTGATGCTGCTGCAGTATTTACTCTTGGTAATAATGTTAAGGATAACAGGTCCCACCCTACCCTTGATCACAGGTAGGAAATGTTTCTATCAGACTCATGTTGAAGTTCTCCGTCTATCATAGACCTCATACGTAGGGTAAGAAATTAAATCACTGTTTATCTTAGGCAGAAGGTATGATATTCCAAAAAGAGTAGATGCATTTTATGCTTGCTTGTATTTGTAATGGCTGTTCATGCTTGTTAATTGGACATACCCAGCGGGAGAGGACCTCAGTTGAACAAATCTCCATCAGATTGGCCTGTAGGCATGCCTGCAGGAGCTTTTCTTCATCACTGACTGCTGGAGGAGGGGCTACCCCACTGTAGAGAGTGCCATCCTGAGCAAGAGGTGCTGCCTTATGAAAGGAAGCTAGCTGAACAGGAGCAATATATCTGTAGTTAGTCAGCAGCACACTTCCATGGTCTTTGCTTCAGTTCCTAGTTCCAGGTTTCTGCTCAAGTCCTTGCCTTGGCTTCCCTCAGTGATGGACTGTGACGTGGGGTATAAGCCAAATAAGCCCAAGTTGCTTCTCCAAGTTGCTTTTGGTTCATGTTTTATCACAGCAACAGAGAACTAAAATAGAACAGTATCCAAGTTCTAAGCAGTCTGGCCTCACTACCTGTAGTTCATGTGAAGTACTCAGACTCTGTGGGTGGTTAGGGTATTAGCAGGGTGAAGTCAGACAGTGGGGGAACATCTGGGTTCACCACTGGAATTACCCTATCTATAATATTTTCATTTAATTTTGTATGATCTTAATGTTGCTGCTCATTCCATATATCCATCTCAATGTCAGTAAGTAAGATACCAAATATGGACACAAACACCAATGTCAACACACTGCATAGTGCATTCATTATTTGAAGATCCAATTCTCAACAAAGAAAAAAAAATGAGACCTACAAGCCCAGGTCTTAGAAGGCCTAAGGATATCCTAGCATTTATTAAACAAACATGAATGTGTCTTTTTGTTAATCATTTTCTTTCACTGGTGGAAAATAAAACCTCAGGAAGATCCGTGAATGTTTTTATTTTATTTAGATGTATTTTCTTGGAGTGAGGTCTTTACACAGAGTATCTAATTCATTTTTTGTGATGCCACCCCTTATGGATTGGATATTATTCTGGTTTTTATAAAGGAGGAATTCAAGCCCAAATAACTCTAGCAATAATTTTAGTCCCTTTTTACTTTGTGAAATGGATATGAGGGAGATGTTTGTGTGTCTTGAGGGGGTATTATGTGTTTGTGTTATGTGTGTTGTATGTGTGTGTGTATGTGTGTGTTTGTGTACTTCAAAATAGTCCCATAACTATCTGAAAAACTTTCCAATTCAAATATACTCGCCGCTCATGTCTAAAATGTTTCTTATATAGTCCATCCACTGTTTCTTCAAGAAAAACTTAGATTCATTTGACAGGATACTTGGCCTCCAGATGGAGAAATAAATTTAACTTACAAATGAAGAATCCTGGGGTTTGCAGGAACTGCCATGCATATTACAAGAAAGTTCTAGTCATAAGGACCTCTGGGATCTAAAAGTTCATTGCTTCACTCTCAGCCACTGACTGTGAATCATGGCATTTAACGTTAGAAAAGATTCTGAGGACTGGTTGCTCAAAGCTCTGTGATTTCTTGCCAAAAACACTCATAAAACATGAACTACAAAGATTCTTGCTGCTTCAGATGAAAATAGAGACCAAGAAGAGAAGAACCCTAGATGTTAGTTCTAAACACATAGTGCCCAATGGAAAAGAGATATGAAGCAAAAAAGAGACAAGCCACTAGCATACTAACATACACTAACATACCCTGTACGTAAACAACATCTACACATGGCTGAATGTTAGGCACATGATCTCCAAAACTTCTCTTAGAAATTTTTCTGACCATTTGTTGCCTTACGGAGAACAAAAAATCAATTCATTATTTAAATATATTAACTCTCTCCATTGTGTAGGAACAATACTCAGTGATAAGGACATAAAATAAAGAAGGATGGGCTTGTTCCTGGGAGAATGCAGTGTATCATGGGAAGACATTGTGATTGTAACATGGTGAAAGGCAAGATATACCCTTCTTGATCCCAGATGGGTATGTCATATGGAAGATCTTCTGGAGGGGGCAACATCTGGCCCAGGTTTTGAAGGGCAAGAGATGGTTGATCAAACAGATATGGAAAAGGTAGAGGTTGCACCAGGATCCACTGTGGATCGGTGAAACACTAGAGCAGTGGGGTGTTGTTCATTATGCAGTTTCTGCAACACAAAAGGAAAGTCTGCTTTGTCCTCTTTCATTTTTATGGTTTTAGTTAGCCACCGTCTAACAAGCCTCTAAAATATTACATGGAAATTAACAGCTCCTTAATTTTAAATAACTTTTCTATAGCGTATTATTGTAAATGTTTTATTTTATTATTAGCTGTTATTAGCTTATTGCTGAACTTAATTTTAAAAATAAAATGCAAAAATATGTATGTATATTTATATATGAAATGATAGATGATATAGCTTCCTATATGTATATCTCACTCTACACACTCACACACACACGCACACACACACACTCACACACACACACTCACTCACACACACTCACACACACACACACACTTTTTGAGATTCTCCACTTGGTCTGGTTTCCAGACAGTGACTTGAACAGAAAGATAAGGTTCAGAGGATCTTGTAGGACTGACTAGATTTTACTTCCAATAACAAACAGCCTTTGAAGGGTTAAGGCACTGGTCACAAGGTTAAATGCGTATCTTTGTAGATGATTTTTTACAGCTATGTGGGAAGTGGTTTTCAGATGGTCAACACAAGAAGTTGGGCAAATTTTAATGACTACTGGAGCGACACATACATGGAAGGCTAGAGATTTAGCTCTGTGCCTTGGTGCTGGGGTTTCAGGAATTGCAGAAGATGTGTAAGCAGTATCTGGGTGATATAAATGGTCAGACTCTGCAGTTACATGAAGATGCAAGGATCAGGTGCTCTCAGACTTTGGGTTGGGTGACTGAGGTAGGTATGGCCTTCCTCAGTTCATCAACCAGAACAGAACTTGACTGGATAGGTTGGAGGCATAGGCAGTATAACTGTGCCAGGGCTTTCTCTTTGAGGCCTTTATCAGCACCTGCAGTTTTTCAGCCATTTGAGAAAGTGGACTAAGGTGACATAATTGGTCTTTTCAACTTACAGATATGTACAAATGTACACACAGCTTCCTCTGTGAACTTCATTATGTTGTTTCCAATGTCTTATTATTCACAACATAGATTTACAACTACAAAAAGTGACCATTAATAACTTACCAGGTTGTGGACAGGCAGTCCTGTGAGAGAAATGTGAATAACCAAACGTTGTTGCTTTTGTTTTAGCTGATGTGGCAATGCCTGTTCCAGAGGAATCCTGTTTTGGGTGACCTCCTAAGGACCCTAGCTCTGTGGCTCTGTCCAGTTCAAAATGGCAGAAAAGGCACCACCTGGCTTGAACAGAAAGACATCCAGATCGACACTCTCTCTTCCTCCAGAACCTGTGGACATTATCAGAAGCAAAACATGCTCTCGGAGAGTTAAAATCAATGTAGGGGGCCTTAACCACGAAGTCCTGTGGAGAACTCTGGACAGGCTACCCAGGACGCGCCTGGGGAAGCTCCGAGACTGTAACACGCATGAGAGTCTCCTGGAGGTGTGTGATGACTACAACCTTAGTGAGAATGAGTATTTCTTCGACCGGCATCCTGGAGCCTTCACATCTATTCTAAACTTCTACCGGACAGGGAAGCTCCACATGATGGAAGAAATGTGCGCGCTCTCTTTTGGCCAAGAGCTTGATTATTGGGGCATTGATGAGATCTACCTAGAGTCCTGCTGCCAAGCCAGATACCATCAGAAGAAAGAGCAGATGAACGAAGAACTGAGGAGGGAGGCAGAGACCATGCGTGAGCGTGAGGGGGAGGAGTTTGATAACACCTGCTGCCCGGAGAAAAGAAAGAAACTTTGGGACTTGCTGGAGAAACCCAACTCATCTGTGGCTGCAAAGGTATGAACACATGGTGCTGATTCACCCGTGTAGCCAGAAAGGGTGGAACTCACTGAGTGTCATTTTCTTTATTGCTTTGGTAAGACAAAACAAATTATGGCTACACCGAGATAATGTGAAAGTCCTTCTCAGCTTCGTCCGTGGGCAGATGTAGTCATTCTTCTTGTGCGATGCCATAAAATGGTGTTAGTCTGTGGGAAATAATTATTGTCTGTAGGGATAGGTCTGGATCACAGAGGAAAGCTCTGATTTCCATGATGTGCCACAAGGTGTGGTGGCTTGGAGACTGAGAAAGAAGCTGTAACTGGAAGTCTGGTAGACATTGGTGTGAGCGTCATCTTTGGTCAAGAGGTGCTGCTATTAGAAGTAGCTACAGTGACTCCTGGCCTGATTCAGTGGAAGTTCAGAGAAAGAGAAGAGAGCATAGTCCAGAAAATATAGGGGGCATATGTAAGAGCAGGGAAACAAGAGCGCATACATACACTCACACACACACACACACACACACACACACACACACACACACAGAATATTACCATGTCTCAGAATTTATGATGTGTTCACTTAAAATGAAGGCAGATTCATGTTTTCCATTATGTTTGCATACATAGCCAAATCTGAATTAGTTTCCTTTCACCAAATTTTATGTTTGATTATAATGCATGATTCTGTTTGTCTGATTTTATCTAGAGCTTCAAGTGTGAGCAGAAGACCTATTTCTGTGCCACATATTCAATTATATATTGCAGTATGAGCAATACATGAAGCATCAATTGTCTTTAGCTGTAGGAACATAGCAGAATCTATGGTTCATTCCTGAATGATGACATGAAGAGGGGTAGACATGAAATGTCATATGATTTTTTCTGATTACTGCTTCATTTCCAAATTTCTTCCCTCTATAAACACTAGAGGCTACGGAAATACAGTAGAACATAGGAGCTTTTTTGACAAGCAATGAAGATTCTACAGGATCATCTGCAGCATGAATAATGAAGGCAGATAATGGGCATGGCTGTGGTGGTGATTGGTTTATCTCTGTTGGTTTCTGATTGACTTCCAAAAGCATTTTATTTTCTGGACAGGATGTCCACTTTAAATAAGAAAGACTGTGTTTCCTTTATACACATTGAGGACATGTATCTTTGTGGCAAATAGACAACCTCAGTAGTTTCTTCTTTCCTTTTTTCAGTGAGGCATCCTTGGTTTGTTCTTGATTGTCCTGTGTTTAGGAAGCAGTGTGTCATCCATGGGGCTCAGTTGGGAAGGCTGTTGCTTTCCCTGGTGATAAGTGTTTAGTTACATATTTGAGCTCCTATTGAAAATATGGGATGGATTTTGAATGTGAAATAGACTCTAGATTTAAGTGAGTGTTGTGGGAGTTAAAAATTAACTTTCTACAAAAGCCCTTCAGCAATAGAGGAACTAGTTATAGTTATATCAAAAGTTCCAGGAAGAGTTTAACCAATTATGAAAACTTAAAGCAGGTAAATCAAGAAGACTTGAAGGTAATATGATTTATTTGATCATAACATTATTGACATATATCTGAGGTAGAGAGCTAGGGTAGAAAATATTTCAAATATGTAGTCTTTCATTCTTTAAGATTTTTTGCTAATCAGAACAGTAATGGTTTTTGAGACAAGGGAGTATATTTGACTTCTAAAGTTTAGAAGCAGTAGCTATTCCTTTATCTCTAAGAAAATGATGCTAATTATGGCTTGTTGTAATATACCATTATTTACCCTATGCATCAACAATTATTTAAGCTTGCTTTGTACAGATATGTGCTTATAACAATAAACAGAAGCTACACAGAGTCTTTCAAATTTTATGTTGTTATGGGTAGTGACTTTGTGTCCACATTATTGATGGGGAGTGGCTTTGAAACCATAAGGATTACCGTAAAGCTTTGACATTTATTCCAGCGTCCACACTTTCTCTCTATTTCAGTGGAACTGTTATGGAAATGTTTATGTCTGATTCTATCGTACTTTAAGGAAAAGTGTTCCTCTTTCCTTTGAGCTTTGAAGCTTTTAAAAACAAGCTCTGCACAATGTTCAACATAAACTGATATGTTCTTCCACATTCTTTATGAGCAGTAAAACTTGGTAGTTTGTAGACGGATTCTGAGGGATGAGAGTATGTGAATAGTGTTTCATGGCCTAAGAATACGTAGTCGTATAGCTTCTGCAGCGGGGTGACACTCTAGTCCTCACAATGGATTTAGGTTCCGAGTATATCAGGATTTCTCATGTGCATGAAACCTGTGTGAAAACCTCGGGAATCACTCTGTGTTCTTAGAAGGCAGAGGAGGCATAGATCTGTGAGTCTGGTGGATTCTTACTTCCTTTTCTAATCATCGCTGCTTGGTTGAGCTCATGTTCCTCATGCACTGTGCCTTTGCAGCAGAAACTTGTGAAGATGCCCCCATCTTCCCCGGATGTAAGGATTTATCCTTTTATCTCAGGAACGTCATACCAGTGAAAGTTCCCTCTTTTGATTTTTCTAGTTTATCTGTAATATTTTTGTAATAAAGTACAGTTGGCCATGGTGTTGCATGGCTATAATCCTAGTACTTAGGATGAAGAAACAGGAAAATTGATGGTAGATTAACCAGCCTATGCTGTATATCTAGTTCCAGGAAAGCCTATGCTATGTCCTCAGACTGAGATTATTTGCCATTCCAACCATACTCTTTGTGATGCAGGGAAAACTTTCAGTTAGACAATTCATAGTAAGATATCTTCTCTCTGGTATCAACTAATATTCAATAATTGAGTAGCAATTGCTCAGCCATGCTTTGTGCACCCACACACAGGATGCACTTGCACACTCCTGACCAGCTATACTTTATGTGTGGGTAAGATCCTGACAGTAACAATTGGACTCTTAGGAAACAGGCTCTCCATCGTCACCTAATGAGCTACTCCACCACTTAACTCTCAGGTGTGTTAGAACAACAACAAAGACAGCAAAGACAGAGAGGGCAGAAGAACAATCTCTGCTTGAATGTGTTTGACAAATTAGCTTATGTATATATCATCATGCTTTCCATAGAATACGGAACGACTGGTAGAAACAGTCTCTCTGGGCTCTGGCACGGTTCAGTGATAAGCACTAGTAAGATATGGGTAAGATTGTCTAATGTTGACACCACAGCCGAAGGGAACTGTCTTTTTCAGTTCCTAGTGGTATGCTATGACCTGTGATCTGGTATTGCAGCCTAAGTTTATGTTTGTAAGATAGATTTTATCTTCTTCTAATCCTGTCACTTTATCTTGGAACCTATATTCACCTTTGTGTTGAGATACTGTCCCGAGTTAAAATTACAGGCTGCATGTGAATATCAGGTCCTGTAAATGACCCAATGGGTCCAGCCTCATGGGTCTATAAAATGACTAGGACACCTGTCATACATGTGACAGGAGATTACTGGCTCTGCTATCCTTTCATAGAGCTGTGGAAGGCCAATGGCCAGAATTAACCCAATACTAGTTTTCTGGACAGTAGCTTGGAATTAGATTTGAGTCTGTACCTCTTCCAGACTGAAACAATTTAATCTGTTTCTAGATTCAGAGTATTTTTCTCCCTTTATTTGGCCTTTTCCAAAGGAGCTACAATAGCCATTTCCTATAAATATCACTGACAGGGACTTCAATCTAAGAGATATTTTGAAGCTTTGAGGGAAAATAGGTGTTATATCCTATAGTGCTCTCAGGCTTGAGGTGGAGGACAGAGACACACAGGTGTCTACATTCTGAAGCAGACCATACTCACTGAATACCATACAAGGCCACACTCTGGATGTCTGCAGACAGCAGTGAACTAAAGACATCAGCTCAGTGTCCAGCCCAACCAGAGAATACAGAATAGCCTCAGCCTGAGGGAAATGGCTCGAGACCAGTGGCTGGCAGTGGGCCCATCTCAGGCTGAGACAACACAGGGAAACTGAGATTGAAGTAGCCCTGACCTAATAAGAGCAAAATGCAGAAACACTTTTTTCTGTTCAATGGAACCAGACAGGGAGAGACACCCAACAGCTTTGTTAGACACAGCATGGAGTCAGGGGTAGGCCTTGGATCTTGTCCAAATTCTATTCAATTCCATCATTTGCATAGCTATCCAACCTCATACTTTCCCCACTACTCTTGAGACTGTCTTTCCCTTCCCCTCCTAACCCTCCAGGTCTTGCCCCCTGCCCCCACCCCTCCCACCCTCCTAATTCCCCTATTAGTATGTTCTCTCCTTCCTCCTCCTCCACCTCTGTCCTTCAACAGCAGCCTCATTTTCCTGATGGACTCTTTATCCTCATCCTCCACACTTACTTTCTCCTCCTTCTCTCTTCCTCTTCCTCCTCTTCCTCCTCCTCCTCTTCCTCCCTCTTATCCACTCATTTCGTCTGTCTTTCATCCTTAGCAAATAACTGTATAGCTTAAGGAAAGTGGGAATGGTTAACTGGGAAAATGCTTTTCAACACATTCTTATTAATAGCTACCTAAAGACAAAAGTTAAATTTTCCCCCAAAGAAAAGGAAGAAACCAAATAAAGAATTAGATAGAGTAACACTTTTCAGATAGAATGGAGCTCAGACTGTAACAAATGGTCATTTTGTCTAAGTCGTCTCAGCCTTTCCCTTTAGTCTCCCCCCTCCCCAACTACCCTCTTGCAAAGGTTTGTTTGCAGGACTCCTGGGAAAGGAGATGACCCTGAGCTCCTGTCTTTGATTCCGTTTCTCCATACTGTGCATGGCAATCATGGATAGCAGAACCCCACACAGTACCTAAAGCAATCCTGGACCTCCTACTTCCTGGTACTCAGGGCCAATGTCTGGAGCTTTCCACCATTGGGTTACTCTGTGTGCAATAATTCCTTTAAAAGCATACCCTCCCCTGTAACACTGTATTATTGTGTGGGCCTTTAATGTCATGGAAATAGTAAAGGAAATACATCAAAAGCAACAAAACCCCCTTTGAGCTTATCAAGGAGAAAGAATATAT